GCCTTTTCTCACGCATGCGCGCGCGCGCACGTCGCGAGCGATCGCGACGCGAGGAACGATCGAGCGGAATCGAAGCTTCGATCCTCCCGCTTCCTTCCGAAATTCTCCGCTGGATCTCGATCCACCTCTCGCGAGGATTCGAGCGTACGGATGCACGATCGGCGGGACCGCTCGTTGCACTCGCGAGCTTCTCGCTCAAGCCGAAACCGAACCATCATGGCCGCCGTTACCGCTTCGTGTTCGCTCTCGCACACCATCACGTCAACGTAATCGTCGACGTCGCGCGAACAACTTCTCTCGAAATCATCGATGCGTTTTCCCGCGCGATTCCGAAACGATCGTCGCGCGAGGAGTCCAACTGCCCGAAAGGCCGGTAATTTCACTCGCGGAGACGCGATTGTCAGACGCCGATGGCGGCGACGCGTTGCTCGACGCCATCGAGAGATACCGAGCCACGGCGATATCGCCGCGCCGACCGATACCGAGTGTAACGCGATCACCGAGGTGCGTACCAATTCGACGAGCCGTCGTACGGCCGGGAGCGTAGATCGCGCATGATTATCTATCTGCACCGACGGAGCGACGAGACGCGCGAATAAACGCGAGAAACCAAACGACGAACCGACAAACGACGCGCCGGAGTCCTTGAAAACTGAAATCGTGCCCTTCGAAAGAGATCTGCTCGGCTCGCTAAGGAAAGGAGGGAGACGGAGGAAGAACCTTCCCCCTCCCTCCCGCAACCGCTGGAACAGCGCGCTCTTCGTCCTCGTTCCGCCAATGGAAACGGGTTGCCCCCTTCCCTCCCAGGGAGATCCTTCGTGAAGAGAGCCGCGAATGTGGAGCGACGTGAAAGGGGCGGGGGAAATCTACCTGAGCGATTTTTCTGGCGGGAATTACAGTGCCACCACGCGAGATTCTCTAACGCTGTTTCAATCGCTTTTTTTTTTCTTTTTCGATACCGCCGAGAGACAAGTTACGAAAATTCTCTCGATTCTTCGATCCGACGAAAAAAAAATGAAGCACGATGAATGGAATGTGAAATTTAGAAATAAGAGACGTTTTGTACTGAGAATCCACCATGAACAATAAAAGACAATGTTGACAGAATAGATAAGATAAATTATTTGGGTACCTGAAGGGTCTGCTGGAACAATGTCAATAATGCTATTCATAAGATCAAAGGTCTCTTAGAACAAAGAAATTTTCGAAAGATTATCAAAAGGAAAATAAAATCGTTCAGATAGATATTTATCTTGAATTATTTATGACGGTGATTCATGATGAGTAATAATGCTTGTTGAAAGAATTCTATTTTTTTCGAGAGAGAGAAAAGAAATTTCTATTTTTTAAGTACTCTTCCCAAAGGATTATTGAGCGAGAAATATTTCAAGAATTTTTCTAGATTTTTCTGAGTTTGTATTATTCTGCCAACAATTGTCTTGTGTTGTTCATGTATTTTTAAATTGTTAAGAAATATTAAAATTAATTCTAATTAAATTCCCTAAAAATATTTATACTTTTTGGCAAGCAATCTCTTCAATCTCACATTTGGTGACAAATATTTCAAAGAATTTTTTAGATTTTTCTAGTTTTCTAATTATAAATTTGTTAAAAATATATACAGTTTTGACAAAAATACTCTCTAATTTTTAATCTATTTCAAATAAACGAATTTGATTAATCATTGTAATTTATGTATGCATCTGTGAACACATCATAAGCATGATTTGACTATATACTAGACAAATTATCTCCAACTGGAGCTTAGAGTTTAACAACTTATCATACTTACTTTTTATATTAAACTGATATAGAAAACAATTATAAAAACTCACTTTAGACGATGGTCCACTTTCAGTACAGCCATACATGCTGAGTACATCGTCATTTTCGCTGTAATGTGATTTACGTAATTTATAATCCTTCTTCAACATCATACATTCCATCTTCTTCAGATTGGTAATAGTAGGCTGGATATCCGCATCATTATTGACGCAAAACGTAAGCCACAATTCCGTAAGCTTATCCATGTCCACGTCATAATTGTCGCAGAATTCAACACCTGTGCAATACATATCAGTAAGGAGGACTATTATAATTAAAAGTATCGTTTGCTTCTCAATTAAGAATATTTGAGAATGAAATTTTAAATATTTCTATTATTCCAAAATTTTATATATTATTCCAAAATTATATTATCCTAAAATTTTATTATACAAATTCAGATAAATACAAAGGAATTCCTGTTCTGACTTCAGCTCAAGTTTCGAGTAACATCGTTTAACTTTAATCGCGCGTTTAACTTAAAATTCTTTTTATTTCTTATTGCAAAACTCTAAAATTAAAAAGAAAATTTTAACTATTAAGTTCAGTTACAATGAAAATTAACTGCCATTGATGATACTGGCATTCTTTTAAATCTTTTAAATATTTATTTGTAGCGAATGTAAAGTGTACGATTCCTCGATTTCAAAAGTGAGGTTATGCGAGAACGAAGCGGAAAGTCTCGACATCTGTTTTAAATCATATATGAAACGCTCTTGTTTTACAAAAGATACATTCGTTTGATCATTCGAAACAATTCAAAGCTACAACTCTATCTTCAATACAATCAAAATTAAGTTTTCGACGAGTAACGTGATCCGGGTAAGTCGAGATAAGACATGATTTTAAGGAAAGATTTTGATGTTATAGTTGAAAAATTGCAGTAAATATCTTGAAAGTACTTACATTTATCGAGGATGGCATCATTCTCAATTTCACAGCCCAAATCTAGGAACAATTTCCGCAAAGATTCCTTGCCTTCCATTTTGAAGTTCTTCGAAATACTCGTTTCCACGTTTCCACCACGCGTTCCTGTTGCTTATTGCCGCCAAAAGTTGGGTTTCGGATTTAACAAGATGTACCATAGAGCATAGATATATATATAGAGATACAGACTGCGGCATGCAGCGTGCATGACAGCGGAAGCTTTCCAACAAGCGACACTGTGCGACAACAACGATCACCTCATCCTTGTATCTGTTTGGTCTATATTTTTAGTTCTAACGGAATATGCCAATAAGATGCAAGCGCTCAGTGAGCGGTAATACTGGGCGCGTTCAAGTTGACAAAGCGGCTAGCCTGCTCGCCAAGCAAATGAACATAATTGATTATTACTTATAGATCCAACCAATCATATTCAATCGCTCG